AGACTCACACATATATGGATAGCTTGTTTTTACAAGGTGCACAAACAATTATAGTGTTTCTCACGAATAATGGTAGATCAACTTGACCTTCATATGGGGTGAAGGAACAACTCCAAACATAACTTACACCATATACAAAACCTAGCCACACATGAATCATATTGACCTAAATGTAAAACAACAAAACTTGTAGAATAAAACGTAAGAGAAAGTTTTTGCAATCTTCCATTAGGCAAAGATTTCTTATGTGTGACAAAAATCTGAAACAAGGTGTGCATTGCAGGGTGGGCTGGGGAAAATGGTGGAGGGGGGAGAAAATGTGCAATAATGAATACAAAAAAATTTCTTAGATATGACATTAACAACATAATATATAAAAGAATAAATTGATAATTTAAACAATTTCAAAATTAAAACCTCTTCTTAAGAAACATATCCTAGAATATTTATAAACCATATGTTGATAAGCTATTTTTATTCAGAATATATGAAAAGAAATCTCAAAATTCAGTAATATGAAAATAAATAATCTAATAACAATTAGACAAAAGATCTTACAAACAATAAAAAAAGACACATAGATAGTACATGGTGTGTTATGCCACTGGTGTCAGTTCTGATTCACAGCAATCCGAAATGCTAGAGCAGAACCGGCCCAAGGTTTTCCTAGGCTGTAAGCTTTATGGGAGCAGACCTGACAATGAGTCAAACCACAACTACTTGGTTAGTAGCCAATGCTTAATGGTGCACCACCAGGACTCCTTCAGCGATAATCAAGGCCATGAAAAGATGTTCATTGGCAAACAGCAAATTTAAATCACAATGAGCTGCCACTACACGTGTTAGAATTACTAAAACTTAAAAGACAAACCATCAAAAGAGACAGAGCTGACTTGGAACTGCTTTTCCACAGTTAGAGTCAGAGGCCTTCATTCAACTTTCCTGGAGTACGGAGATGTCACAACTGGCAGGACTTTGTAATACTAACCTAAGCCATGAGGCTGACAGTCAAAGGGCCAGAAACTACACTTAAGATGCTGTCTGGACTGAGGGACTGTATCCTGCCATTAACCTGGATTATAAGTTAATTATAGCCTATTAACTTCCCTAATTGTATCCAGCTGTTAACCTGAATTATAAATTAATTTTAGACTATGAACTTCCCTAATAAACCCCATAACTGTGAATATGGTTCTATAAAGTAGGTGTAATGAATTTTGGACCTGGGAGAGCAGTAGGTTGGTGGTGGAATTAATAGAAGTAGGTGTAGAAGTGTACAGGCCATGTTTGATCTTATAGAAATTAGTTTTGTACTGCGTATGTTGTTCATGGGGACAGTTTCTCTTTCTGGAGTTGAAGAAGTCAGACTTGGCTGTCTATTTTTACAACAGTCAATCTAGAAAACAGTTTGGCAGTTTCTTACGAAATTATACATACACCTACTATAATAAAATCCAGTCATTTCACTCTTAGGAATTTACACAAAGGATTTGAAAGCATATATACACAGAAAGACTGTAAATGAATAGTCATCATAGCTTTTTTTTGTAAAAGCCCTAAACTGAAAACAAGTCAACTATTTATCAACAGGCAAATTTAGAAACTCTTATTGTCAGTGGAAATATAAGCTAGAAAAGATACTTTGGAAGACAGTGTGGTAATTTTCTATCAAATTAAACATATACTATGATATGGCTCAGCAACCACAAACCCATGTATTTGCCCAAGAAAAAGAAAACCGCTTAGCTATATTTGTTCCCATTCCAAAGAAAGGTGACCCAACTGAGTGTGGAAACTACAGAACAGTGTCATTAATTTCACATGCAAGCAAGATTCTACTGAAGATTATCCAAAAACGATTAGAACAGCACAATCAGCAGAGAACTGCTGGAAGTCCAGGCTGGGTTTAGAAGGGGTCGTGGTACTAGGGATATTGTAGCTGATGGTAGATGGATCTTAGCTGAAAGCAGAGAATACCAGAAGAATGTCTATCTGTGTTTCATTGATTATGCAAAGGCATTTAACTGTGTGGATCATAACAAACTGTGGCTGACTGAGAAGAATGGGAATCCCAGAATATTCAGTTGTGCTAATGCGAAACCTATACTTGGACCAAAAGGCAGTAGTCAGAACAGAGCAGGGTAACACTGCATGGTTCAAAATTGGGAAGGGTGTACGCCAGGGATGCATCCTGTCTCCATACCTTTTCAACATGTATGCAGAGCAGATTATCTGAGAGGCTGGGCTCTATGAGGAGAATTGTGGCATCAGGATTGGTGGAAGATCTATTAACAATCTGTGTTATGCAGATGACACAACCCTGCTTGCTGAAACTGAGGAGGACCTCATGCACTTGCTGCGAAGGGTCAAGGACTGCAGCCTTCAGTATGGACTGAAGCTCAATGTCAAGAAGACAAAGATTCTCACCACTGGACCAATTGGCAGCGTCGGGATGGATGGTGAAGGGATTGAGATTGTTCACAGCTTCAGTTTGCTCAGCTCCACAGTCAACACTCTTGGCACCAGCAGTCAGGAAATCAAAAAGTGTATTGCGATGGGAAAGTCTGCTGTTAGGGACCTCTCCAAAGTACTCAGGAGCAATGGTGTCTCTCTGGAGACTAAGGTGTGCCTGATACAGGCCATGGTATTTGCAATCGCTTGTTATGCATCAGAGAGTTGGACAATGACTAGGGAGGACAGAAGAAGAGTGGATGCTTTTGAGCTGTGGTGCTGGAGAAGAGTACTGAACGTACCATGGACTGCCAGGAAAACAAACAGATTCATCTTGGAGAGGATTAAACCAAGCTACTCCTTGGAGGCAAGGATTCTGGTCTTCATCTGACATACTTTGGACATGTTGGCAGGAGGGATGGGTCCTTGGAGAGGGACATCATGCTTGGGAGGGTGGAGGAACAGCGCAGGAGGGGAAGACCCTCTATGAGATGGATTGATTCGGTGACTGGGGTAATCGGGATGGGTGTGTCAGAGGCAGTGCGGTTGGCGCAGGATAGAGCAGGGTTTAGGGCTGTTGTGCATAGGGTCGCTATGAGTCGCAAACAACTCGACGGCACATAACAACAAACAACAACAACACACTTGACTATTTTAAATTTTCTTTATAAGTGCTCCAAATTGACATCAACACAAATACACCTCAATAGATGAATGGATATTGGACTACAGTACATACACAAAATGGAATACTCAGCAGTAACAAAGGACAAATTACAGATAAGCACAACATGAATAAACCTCAAATGTGCCACGTTTGGTGAGAGATATCAGATATTAAAGGGTACATAACTATTTTGTGATTCAACTTATATGTTTTCCATAAAAGAATTCTAGGCATTAAAGAAACAGATTACATAACCATGTTGTCATTAGCACTGTGTTGTAGTTATCAGTGTGCTTGACTCCTTCATTAACCTACAACAATAAACCTAAAACTTTGCACAGTGGCTAGTACAATGACAACACTCAACAAACACTTCCTGAATGCAGTATTGTCCTACCCCAGGCTAAACACTTAATACTGCTGGCTATTTCCAGTGATTTCTTTTCCCCAAAAAAATGAGCAATACTGAAGTCAAGGAGATGTAACCATTCAGAGTTTAGACTCCATTCTAGAATACAGAGTATGTTTAAATACACTTATCTCCATATTTTCTGTCCAAATGACTTAAGGGCCCCTCTTCTCAACTTTCCCAGCCGCCAATGAAAGAACTTCTAGATCTGAAAGATAGTCACTGCAGGGGATTATAGGCAGAATTTGGACATATACCTAACGTGTACAAAACGGCCAGAAACAGGAAGAGGTTGTGGTGTGTCTGGAAAAAGACTAAAGGCCAATTGGCTCCATGTGAGCTGTCTAGCCTTCTAGATCATTATGAAAATGTCAAGAAAGGAGAACATAAAATATTTCACTTAAAAACTTGTTAGCTTGATTTGTAACTTTTACATATTTAGGCGGTCAGTGGGTCTCCTGCAACTCCCTTACTCTCTGACTGCAAATGTTAGGGGCAGGCTTGGCCAAAGGAAGAAAGATTACAAAAAGTGGTGATCCTACATTGTGGCCTTGGAAACAAAACCTAACCCACTCCCATTGACTCAGGATGACACCCCCGCCGCAGTTTACCCACAGAACAGCTGGTGGGGGTCTACTTCTCGCTTAAGTAGCCCAACACTGAACCGACTATGTCAGTAGAGATCTTTTGTGGTCCCGGAGCTTCTCTATGTCTTCAGATACCACTTAACAAAAGAGTGAGATCGATAAATATCAAAGCACATCTGTCGACCTGTTTATTCAAGCTGATCTTTTTTTAGGATTTTCTTGAGGAACAATCTTCTCCAGTTTTCAACAACCCTAACACTTTCCTCAGTTCTCACACAAGAAAGAAAATAACCTGATCCTGTCCTGATATTTACTTTCACCAGACCAGGAGCTACCGTTAAACTAAAAACCCAAGGCCAAATGACCAAGGTGTCAATTCTGACTCATAGCGACCCTCTTAGAAGGCGGCCCGTCTTTCTCCCACAGAGCGGCAGTGGTCTGAAACCACTGACCTTTCAAACAGCAGCTCGACACATTATGCCACCGCTGCTCCCTGGATTTGCTGTTAGGATTTAGGAGAAACAGAGGAAAGGATCGTGCCCTGTGCCACCAAGCCAAGCATCAGGGACGTTCTTGAGCCCCATTCGGGATTCCACCTGGGGTTCCTAGATATCTCTTCGCGCAGACCTGACAAGCTCTAGGAGAATAAGGAGGGAATCTCGGCAGTAAAAGGACGGCAAAGGTCCTAAGAGTTCGCCTCACCTAGCCCAGCCGCTTGGCGTTTCCCTGGCAACCACCACTTCCTGTCCCGACCGGAAGCCGGCCAAGGCCCGCGGCCCGCCCTCCCTGACGGCGGCGGAGAGACCTCTGCCCTGGAAGCCGGCTGGGACTGACCCATCCCGGGGGACGTGGACGGCTTGCGACAGGTTCTAGTCTTGGCCTGGGCTTGGGCGCCATGGACGCCTTCACTCGCTTCACCAACCAGACCCAAGGCCGGGACCGACTCTTCAGGTGAGTCAGGTGCCAGCAGCGTCCACTCGCTTCTCTCCCTGATCCCGAACTCAAGTGAGTTCTCCCGCGTCCCGAGAGACAGGAGATCGGAGCCCTGTGGACAGAAGCAGGACGGACGCTGCTGGTCCCGACGGAGGGGTCTCGGTTTGGTTCTCTAGCCCTGCCTCACTCTAAATAAAGCTCATGGGGCTGGACCACCCGCACCTGCGCCGCGTCCTGAATCTCCTGTGCGAAAAGCCCGGGTGCCTGGCCGCCCAGCCCGAGGCCGCTCGCGGTCACCGCGGTGGACACCTGCTGCTCGCCCAGCCTCGCTCTCCGTGCAGCGAAGACCCGGATCTCCCCGCGCCACACGCTCCCGAAGATCGTTTTTGTTTGTTTTTTTAGGAAAAAAACCTTTCGTTTGACGTGTACGGCTCGGAGCAGCCAACCTCTGGTGGGAATGCAACCCTTTGGGGAGATGATTATGATAATTTGATCTGTCGTCTTTATCCGTTTATTTTCAGTCTACCTTGTTACAGGACTGCGTGTGAAATAGTTTTGTGAACCGTGAAAACATAGTCGCGGAAAAATATTAAACCGAAATCATGGCTTTACAATCAGTTACTGAAATTTCATTTAGAATTTTGCTCACTAGTGGAGGGGGGAAAAATCATTTAGTAATTCTTCTGACTGTGCTAATACAGAGTCCTTGAAAATGGTCCAGTAGTCAGTTGGAAGCCAAGAATGACATGCCAAGAATTACTATCCCAGTTATTAACTTCATTGACCCTCAACACAATCCTGAATCCCTGTTTTATAGATGAGAAAACTGAAGCAGAATGAATAGATGCTAAGCGGCTGAGCCCAGGGATTCAGATCCACACAGTTTAGCTCCACTGTGCACTCCCTTACCACCAACTCATACTACCTGCTAATGAATTTGATAGATTTTTCAGAACAATTGCATTAGGTACAAGCTTGGGAAAAAAATAGAAGCGATGATCCCAGTATACCTACAATGTATATACCCTGCAAGAAATTTGGTTAATAAAAGAACTATTTAAGCTGTACTTACATAGCAAGATCTCTAGCAGTTTCCACCCCACTTAGTGATCAATCTCTGTGTAGACAAACTTGTTATTAAATGAAACCAGAGGAAGAATCGCTGACATGGCCAGTGAGAGCCCCCAGTAAGGAAAGACTTTTTAAAAAAAAAAAAAAAAAAAGACTTATTTCTGATCTTGTCTCCCTGTGTTCCCCTTAACAAATTCACCTTTTTGGAAAATGTGGCATATTTTTCTTGAAGTTAATATTTATAGCGTAAAGAGATTAAAATGAAAGGCAGTAGGAGATGGGCAACAACTTTATTAAATAGATGCCAAAGCATTTGAATGGTTGACTGGGTAACATAAAATTTCTCAGTACACTCTGTCAGTAAAGCAAGTACGTGTAGGCATGACAATAATTACTTTATTGAATATGTTAAAAAAGTCCTTTGCCAATGAATCTATTTCAGTTCAGCAACCATATAGGATAGAGAAGACCTGGCCCTTGGAGTGTCTGAGGCTGTAAACCATTATGGGAGCAGACTGCTTCATCATTTTCCCATGGAGTGGCTAGTGGATCTGAACCAGTGGCCTTTTAGGGAGCAACCCAGTGCTTGACCCACTGTGCCACAGAGCTCTGCAATTGAATATATTGGTCTACCTCTTCCCAAAAAGACTTCCACTTTTATCAAATCTGTACATGTATTTGATCCTTTAGAAAAAAATTAAAAATCATTTTCAGACTGGATTTTATTTGGTTCTGATTCAGGCTTAATGTACTGTGACATAGGTGTCACACATTAGCTACATGGTAAAGAAAGTTCATTTTAGAAGTCTGAAAAATCATTCTATTCCTAGTGAAATAAAGAGTATGGGACCTTTAGAGATTTAACACGATTGTACAATTTTCCCCTTTGGCTATGTCCATTTCTCTGTGCCAGCAGAAGGCCTTTTGGAATGCTGCTCTACTAGCTGCATTATTGCACGCTTCTCTCTCATCACCTTTGTGTTGCATTTCTGTCGCATACTCTGCCCTTTGGCCCTGTGGAGTGACTGTTGAAGTGACTGTTAGAATTTTGCTCTTGTGTTACATGAGAAACTGTCTAGTAAGCGTTGCATATAGTAAGACATGTTTCTCTTTCCCTTACTTCATGAATCAATCAAGTTTTATTTAGTTTGTAAATTATCTTTTTTTTTCTTCTCCATTTCAGAGCCACTCAGTACACATGCATGTTGCTTAGATATTTGTTAGAGCCTAAAGCTGGCAAAGAGAAGGTGGTAATGAAGCTCAAGGAACTGGAGTCCAGTGTGAGCACTGGCCGTAAATGTAAGTACCTGGCCTTGAGGGACAGTGACTCCTGATTGAGACTCCTCAGCCCCATAGCCTGTAATTCACAAAACACTGTCTAGGTCATTGATTTCTAGTCAGGCTTACTCATAAGGTCAATCAAACATCAGTAAGGCTGCCATCATGGAATCACAGAGCAAAAAAGCTTAAATATTTTCTTGCATATCATTCACAAATACTCTCCAACATTCAAATGTGGTGCTGTGTCTTTCTGTTAATGATAAGCTGCTGGACATGTTTGCCTCTACTTGCTAAAGTCACCAATGTTTTGACAAGTGCAGGCATGAATGTCTGGCTCTGCTAGCTCTTAGTGCCCTAAAGTTCAACCAAATAACTATGTCCTGGATCACGTATCATCTTCTCTTATCACCTGGAACTGCTAGAAGAAATGGATAAATAAATAGACTGTTTATGTAATGGTTTCATCTTTTAAAAAAAAGTTGACATTTTACACTCAATTGTCATAATAAATCATACTGTGACATTTTACACTTAATTGTCATAATAAATCATACTGTGATATCCCATGTGTTTAATAAGATTAGCTATTATTACTGACTCTTGGTTATTTGATGAGAACCAAATGTTGCTACAATAGGGAAGGTAAGCAAAGTATTGGAATAATCATTGGATATTGATCAGTTATTTTTTATCACTTCAGATAGATACTTTATGGGGTAAATAAGATTACATGATTCAAATAATATGAAGTTTTAGTTCCAAGTCTAGTTGATTGGAGTAGAGAAAATGAAGATATTTTTGAAGTAAAATTGAGTTATGTCTGAAATGAAGGAAAATAGGTAGTCTAAAAGGGTAGCTGCTTCTAGTAAAAGCTCAGATGAGTTAAGAGCAAACCATCATTTTGGAAGATCAGTGAGGAATGTAGCTTTAAAGAAGTCTTGAATTGTCAAGTTGAAGTTTAGGAAGGGTGAGTATTCTTTAATGACATTGAAAGCCAAGCTTGGAAATATTATTTGCAATTCTCTAGTATTTTGGAACTAAGAGGTCTTTAGAGGTCAGTAGTTCCTGAAGCCCAGCAGGGGCTCATTGAAGGTCATTCAGCCAGGTAGTAGAAGAGCCATCATGGGAACCCAGGAGTTTTCATTGCCTATCCAGTTTTGTGTTATCTGGAAAAATTTTATCAGTTATTCTGAGATTTTAAATTGCCTGAAGATAACAATTTATGAGCGCTTACTGAGTCTGAAGTTTAATCCTTTAAGGGGAAGTATATCCTTTGTATTCTCTATAATGTTTAGGACTAGAATTCATTTTCAGTTCTTGATAAATATTGTTGATTGATGCATCTCTGATTAAATGCATGTTCAATGAAGGACATATCAGTGCTGCTGTTTATTTAATTCAACTAGGAGTCATGTATAACAATATTATTAATTTATTTTTCTACTAAATCCTCCTGTCCTTGTTTTGCCTGGAATTTGAACCAGAGAAATGGCAAAATGAAATTGATGTTTGGGATTTGTTTTCTGTTTTTGTTGTTATCTGGAAATTAAATGAAATGTAAGGAATTAAACTCTCCCAAAGCATGTTGTATCTAGAATTCATGTTATCATAGTACCTTCCTTATAGAGAGTTGTAGCTGGTAATAGTCAAATGTAACAATCATGTTTATGATTAGCCTTGCCTAGAGTTGATGTTAAGGGAGCTCTGGTGGCATGGTGGTAAAGAGTTGCACTGACAACCCAAAAGGTACACAGTTCAGATCCACCAGCTGCTCCATAGGAGAAAGATAGGCAGTCTCCTCCTTTGTGATTCACCGCCTGAAAACCCACTGAAAGGTCAGCTATGGGTTGATTCCGACTCGACAGCACACAACAACAATAACAGAGTTGATGTTAAGGTGTTCCCTGGATCAAGACTATAAATTTTAAGAGTTGGTGCTTCTCTGCCTCCCAGACTCACTTTAAGTGTTCCTAATGTACTGCAGAATCCTTTCTTGAGCAAAGCCTGAGCCTCAAGTAACAGTCAGTTGTCCTGGAACCTCACTGTGACACAAGGATTCTTCCTTTCCGTTACATACTAATTAAATACCCGTTAACCATTGTGGGTTCTTCTTGCAGGGTTCAGACTAGGAAATGTGGTACATGCTGTCCAGGCGACTCAGCAGAGCATTCACGCCACAGATCTGGTACCCCGCTTATGCCTGACTTTATCCAACTTAAACCGTGTGATTTATTTCATCTGTGACACCATCCTCTGGGTGAGAAGTGTAGGGCTTGCTTCTGGCATCAACAAAGAGAAATGGCGAATGTGGGCTGCCCGCCACTACTACTATTCTCTCCTGCTGAGCTTGGTCAGAGATCTGTATGAAATCTCCTTGAAAATGGAACAGATTGCACATGACAGAGCAAAGAAGAAGAAATCGTCATTTCAGAATCCTCCTGAGCACAGTGTGGCTGATGAGGAAACAGAATGGCTTCAGTCCTTTCTTCTTCTCTTATTCCGATCCCTGAGGTCACATCCTCCCTTGCTTCTGGACACGGTGAAGAACCTTGGTGATATCCTGAACCCTTTGAACCAACTGGGAATCTATAAATCCAATGCTGGTGTCATTGGACTGGGAGGCCTGATATCTTCTATAGCAGGCATCATCATTGTGGCTTATCCTCAGATGAAGCTCAAGATCCGTTAAGGCATAATTAGCACCTGCCTTGAAAGGTGACCTCTTAAAGGGATGGACATTTGCATTAATCACAGACCATATCCTACTGAGCTTAAGAACTTGTTCACATGAGCATTTAATGACCTGTGATGTCCCCAGAAGAGGAGCAAAGAATAGAACTAAGAATTTTTATGTTTTTTAGAAAGTTGGAATGACTTTTGAATTTCTGAATATATTCCATTTCTGACATTTATTGAGCATTTCGTGCTTACACAGTAGGAGTTTAAGGGTTTGTTGAATGAATAAAAATGAAAGAGGTGCAATAAGACAAGTAAATACTATTAGAGAGTAACTTATGGACTGTGTAGTTTTGCACAGCAGTGGATGTGGTACTCCTCTTAGACCTGGTGGGGGCTGCCCTTGCCCTCTGAGCAGTTCCACTTATTTTCATGGCAGGATAGAGGGTAGTTAGTTGGCCTCTACCATGACTGCACTCCTGACCTTAACTCTGTTCAGAAGCAGAATCAGAAAAGCTGGGAACCTTCATGGGATATAAATTGTGTCTTTGGGAAGAGGTCTCAGCAAAAATAAGGAACAGACTGGAAGGACTTGAAGTAGAAACAATGTGGATGTTCACAAAATAGCCTGTGACTGATGAGGAAACAGGCAGGGGGAAAAGTCGAAGTGGTTCACATTCAAGGCCTGTGTTTCCTGTCTCCAACTTCCAATCCCTTTTTCTTTCTGTGGTGTCACACTGCCTTCCTGGTTTGCCTTCCTAGAAATGTGAGAATCCAGCATCCTGTACTTTCCCTCTCATTTCTCCAAAATTAGGACCTCTGTTAGTGATTTCTATTCTTTCTACAAATATTAAAACCATCTCTAAACTTACTAGTCAAACCCCTATAATAGTGTGAGGAATTAATAACAATTTACAAAAATTGTAAAAATTTATAAATATTCCATGAATTTAGGAGAATCATACTTTTTCATTATTTAATCTGACTTTCGTGTGGTTGGAGGAGGTGAAAAAGAACAACAAAGAGCCAGTGAAGAGAAGACTCTAGACCTGAGTTAATAGCATTTACTCATGTTCATTCTTATAGTCTTGAGTGCTCAGTTCTTATTTGTGATCACAGATCTTTTAGATTAAAAATGGAAAAGTAGGATAGCATTAGAAGCAAGGCCAGTGTCAACCAGTTAAAGCCATGTCATTAAACGTAAATGAAGAAAGGTGAACTCAATAAATTTCCCATGAATGTGACAGATTTTTATCCACTTCACTCAGGTCTTTGACTGTTTTTAAAGTTGCCAATCAAGAAATGGAATTTAGATAAGAATATGTTAGGAATTTTAAGGGAAATTAAAAGTGCTGTGTCAGGGCAAATGAAAAAAAATAACTATTTTTAGCTTGCCTGGATCCTCCACTGTAATACAGATTCATTATGTCTAATAAATTTCTAGAAAAAAATGGACTCTATACCCTCTGGATCTGTGAATGTGTCTGGGAATGGGGAAGAGCTTAAAACAATGCAATCTAGCAGGTAATCCTTTTATTTGCATCTGTGTGGTGGATGAATGATTTAGATGTGGAGTCACTTGGTTAGGCCAGAGTGATCTTTAAGGTGATCTCATAGGGATCTCTAGGGATCCATTTGTGAACAGGATGACCAAGTTCCCTGCTTACGTGCCGGGAGTAAAAGTAGGAATGAGGACAGAAGGAAGACAGCGCTGTCCTTCAGACTGCAGGTGGGAAGTGGCCTCTGCCCTCTCCCTTTGGAGCTCTCTAGGCCCTTTGACCACTTCTTCACTCTGACCCACATTCCCGGCTTTGTCAGCAAAGCTTTCAGGCACAAAGCCTTGTGCTCCCTCTGGCCCCACGCCATGGCTCCAGAGCTTAGCACTGCCCTTTGCCCCAAGTTTCTTTCTGGACACAGTCTCCCAGATACGTTTTCCACAGGCTTAAAGTGAGGTCAGAGACCACTTGTTCAGACGTTTCCCTCTGTCTCCATCACTGCTTATATTTTAAAAGCTCAAATTGGGTAAGTATTAAATGTGTCATATATTCATTGCTTCTTTCAGAGGTTCCTGGCTTGATTGCCTTTTTTTGACCCCTTGTTCGTTCACTACATTGTTAAGAGGGAATTTATCACCAAGGCTCCATCAATAAAGCACTGTTCTCACCTCCTGCCACTTTCCCTCTGTTAACCCACATGCAGTTTAACAGAGGGATCAACAGTAAGCAAAATCCAACCAACAATGAGAAAAGTAAGTTTGTCTTTTAATGACATTTTATTTTAACAGGCACAATCTGTCAGTCATTTTTGAAACCAGGAACTCGAATGAGCTCTTTCCTGATTCTTTGATAAAGAAGGGCTTAGAGGTGACATTTCCTTGTTGTCTTGGGTGCTGTTGATCAGTTATAGAATCTTGGTCAGCACTATCATTTCTCCAGACTTAGAAGAACAAAAATGCCGTTGGCTCAGCCTCTGTACAGTCTGGTAGCATCCTAGGCCAGGTTAACTTGAGTAAACCTCCTCAGACTCTTGACAGCTCAGAATTACTGCCTCAGACACTGGATTGCCAAAGGCCCTCCAGCTCTGCTTTGCTATTTCAATAAATTTTCTCTCTATAGTTAAAGTTTAGCACATATAAGTGAATTCTGGATTTAGTCTTACTGTTAAAAGTCAACTCTTAAGAAAGAAATGGGCTACCAGCTGTCCCACTGGACCCTCTGTGGAGAGGAACTAAGCATTACAGAATTACATGGAACTTTTTGTTTCTGACAGAGCCCTGGTAGCACAATGCATGATGTGTTGGGCTGCTCCCTGAAAGGTCAGTGACTTGAAACCATCGAGTGCTCTACAGGAGAAGGATGGACAGTCTCCTCCTGTAATATTTACAGCCTTGGAGGCCTAGTGGGAGATTGCTTAGAAGTTGGAATTCACTTGATGGCAGGAGATTGATGTTTGGTTTCTGATTGAGTTTGTGTATCTAATATATATCCCAATATCTTCCTTTGGAGAAATTGGTTTTTGAGAATTAGGGGCCAGAAATGTTGCAGAATGATGCTTCATGCCTCTGGAAAAAAAGAACTCGTCAGAGCCTGGATCTCCTTCAGCTCTGGGATCTAGCTCCATGTGGGCTTAATCTCCATGCAGAAATGAGGATATGCCCAAGAGACCCTGGGTCAAATAACCATGGCAACCAGCTGACCCAGCTTTCTCTTCCTCTCTGCCCTCCTCTACTTGGGAGGTGTTAGTAGCATTGCCCAAGACTCCCCAGAGCGACTGGGATTGTCCGTGCTGCTGAGACGCTCTCCAGCTGGGGCCTCCGTGAGGCTGAAACAGTAGTGAGTGTGGGAGCAGCAGCTGTGGGCGTCCTCCTTCCTTGGGTGGCTTCTGAGAGTTTAAAGGGAAGAAGCTGAGGATAAGAATCTGGTATGAGTCATCTGGGAGGTTTTATTGGGGATTAGGAAGTCTGCAGGAAACCACTGAGGGGGAAATTATCTGAGGTGAATGACCAATCTGGACATTCTGAGACCACTAGCTCTTCTAGGATATAGGTGAAAGAGCTGCCTTTGAGGCAGGAGTCCTGGTGGTGCAGTAGTTAAGTGCTCAGCTGTTGACAGGGGGTAGTTGGAACTCATTACCTGCTCTTCAGGAGAAAAAGGCCTGACAATCCACTCCCACAAAGACCTACGGCCTGGGAAGCCCCGTGGGCAGTTCTAGTCTGAAGTAGAGGAACTAACCTAGGGCTTTTTCATTCAAAACAACAAAACGATAAAAGCTGAAACTTATTACTCACTTTTGGACTTTCATTTAAGAGCCCTTAGACTTCATTTAAAGCCTCTTATGAAAACCTGCATTCTTCACTTTTTATGCTGGTCCCTTGGAAAGAACATCTATCTTGACAAGTGGACTGTAGAGGGATTCATCGCTATGGGGCTTTAAGAGATGGCCTCTTGTTTGTTGGCCACTTTCTAACCTGTGTCTTCTATTCAGGGTAAGTGAGATCGCAGGCAGTGTGGACCCAGTTGTTGGCCAAAAGAGGTAGGGAGCTGGCCCTGTGAATCTCAAGTCTGTGGGCTCTCAGTTGGACCTGCACCCCTCTGCTTTGCGGCTTGAAGAGCTAATATGGCAGTCAACAAGTGTTCAACTACGCTGGACGATGACCACCCTGTAAGTAACCCAGTTCTCTATGCGATGGGATGGATGGTGAGGGAAGAAGAAGCAGTGGGCCAGTAGGGAAGGTTAGAAGGCTGAGAGGACGATATGTTGTTGTGTGCCTTCTAGTGGGAACCAGCCCATAACTTAACTGACCCTCCAGCAGCTTTTCAGAGGCAGTAAGTCACATGGGAGAAGCTTGCTCTTCTTCCCTCCCATAGGTGACGATATGTCTAGATTCTGTTCCTTCGTGCTTTGGCTTTCATAGCTTGTCTTATTCTTGCTTTCACAACCTTTTGCCGAGGGCTGTTAAAGGACCTGATAGATAAATGGTGCCTACTGAAAAAAGCACACCTTGAGGGGAAAAGGACAGAGTGGAGAGGAGTGTTTGTTATATCAATACAGAATTTAGTTTTGAGCACACAGATGGTAATCCACGTGGATGTACCTCCTGGGCTTATGTAATGGACTGTTAGTGCTGCTCTGGGGAGGGGTTGGAGAGTCAATGCTTCTGTTGTCATGCTCCACCGGGTTTTCACTATGAATTGCACTGATTTTGACATTTAGATGTGCATAATTCCTCTTGGCAAGGCCTCTCTGCTTCAGGCATAGTTTGTATATTTTGTGAAACTTAAAATCTGTGAACTCATGCAATACCCGTATTGTCCCAAGATAAGCCTCAACACCAGAAAATGCTGTTAGGTTTTAGAATGAGTCAGAGAACAGCGTAAAGTGTTGAGATGCAGTTATGTAAGTTCTTTCTTTCCCAGGACTCTTTTCCTCTTTGGTGTGGCCTAAACAACTTCTAATGCGTCCAGGCACCACTGAGATATGAACTGGCCTAAACAACTTTTAAAAAGGGACTCTGGTGGTTTAGTGCTAAGAAATTGCACTGTCAGTGCAAAGGTATACAATTCAAATCTGCCAGCAGCTCCACAGGAAAAAGATGAGAAGTCTCCTCCTGTGTGATTTGCTGCCTCTGAAAATCCACTGGAGTGTCAGCTATGGGTCATTCTGACTTGATGGTACACAACAACAACAAACAGTTTTTAAAATTTTTGACCACAGTGCTAAAGCAAACATTTTTCTTGTTTATACCCATAATCTGTTTCTAGTTCAGATTTTTTTTAAATTTTTTTTTCTAGTTCAGATTTTAAATGAGGTGGTGGTTGTTGTTATGCGCCATCAAGTCAACCATAACTCATAGTGACCCTATGCACAATAGCTCTGAACTCTGCTCTATCCATTGTCATCATTGTCTCTGACACCCCCACATTACCCCAATAATTGTGTCAATCTATCTCATCCAGGGTCTTCTTCTCCTATGCTGTCCCTCGATCTTTCCAAGAATGATATCCTTCTCCAAAGACTGGTCCCTCCTGGCCACATGCCCAAAGTATGTTAGACAGTCTCAAAATCCTTGCCTTCAAGGAGCAATTTGGTTTCACCCCCTTTAGGACAGACCTGTTAGTTCTCTTGGCAGTCCATGGTATGTTCAGTACCCCTCTCCAGTTCTCAGTACCACAACTCAAAGGCATTGATTCTTTTTGTCATCCTTAGTTGTCCAGCTCCCTAATGCATAGCAAGTAGTTGTGAAGACCGTGGCCTGGATCAGGCACACTTTATAAGTTTACATCCTTGCTCTTTAGCTCTCTAGAGAGGTCCCTAAACAGCAGATTTTCCTAATGCAATTTTGTCTTTTGTTTCCTGACTGCTGGTGCCAAGACTGTTGATTGTGGAACCAGGCAAGCTGAAATTGTTAACAATCTCAGCCTCTATCTATCATGATGCTGCCAGTTGGTCCATTGGTGAGAATCTTCGTTTTCTTCATGTTAAGCTTCAATCTGTATTGCACACTACAATTCTTGACCCTCTGTACCAAATGCTTCAAGCCCTCCTCAGTTTCAACAAGTAAGGTTGTATCATCTGCATAATGCAGGTTGTTGATGAGTCTTCCGCCAACTCTGATGCCACATTCCTCATAAGGTCCAGCCTCTTGAATGATCTGTTCTGCATACAGATTGAAAAGGTGTAAAGATAGTACACATCCCAGATGCACTCCTTTTCTGATTTTGAACCATGCAGTGTTTCCTTGTTCTGTTCTGATGACAGCCTTCTGGTCCAAGTATAGGTTTCACATGAGGACAGTCGGATGCTCTGGGATCCCCATTCTTCTCATGGTTAGCCACAATTTGTTTTTGTTGCGATCCATGCAGTCAAATGCCTTTCCATAGTCAATGAAAACAAACATTCTTCTGGTACTAGTGCCACGGCCTCTTCTAAACCCAGCTTGTATTTCTGGTAGTTTTCTGTCAATATACTGTTCCAGTCACTTTTGTATAATCTTCAGCAGGATTTTGCTTGTGTGTCATATTAGTGATATTGTTCAATAATTTCCACACCCTGTTGGAAATGGGGTTACAGGATGGATAAACAATGGTGGCCTGCTTTGTCTAATGTATAGGAAGGTCTTCTGGAGTTTTCATGCTCAGTGTCCTGAAAACAGAACAGCTTCGGTGTCGCCTGCACAGCAGCAGCATCCTCAGTGTGCCAGAGAGGGCTTGCGCTTCTCTCAAACCTGAGATGGTTCTCTTTACTTTTTATGTACAGAATTCTTAACATTAACTGGTCCCAAACATCCATGAATCCATGGTTACATCATCCTCATCCCATATGTTTCTTTCCTTGCATTACTTTGAAGAAAATCCCAGCTATCCTGCCATTTTAAACCTGAATTAGAAATGTGACTCTGCCACTTACTAGCTGTGTGATCTTGTGGAAGTCATTTACCATCTCAGAATCTGTCCCCACATCACAAAGGGGCGGGTGATAGCACTGACCTCAGAGAGTAGCTGCTAGAACTAAATAGAGCTGCACTCACAGCACACCCAGACCAGTGACACGACACCTACTGAGTGTGCCTTCTTTCTGCATGACCTGAATCCACAGATTTTTATTCACAAACCAGTGTAAGTAAAGATTCCTAGGCTGCTAAAATTAAACTGCATTGATGAGAGTACAGTATACTAATAATTGTTTCATTACATCCATGCTTAGACGACACCTGGAGCACTGTTTTCCCATTGAAGTGTGAAGTTTTTAGTAAAGATGGCAGCAGGCTCCAATGTGTCCCACATGGGGGTCTCCAAACCAAGATGCTTTGTAGACTAAGTATCTGTATCCAAGGGGAGACATTCTTGACTTCAGATATGTCAAGTGCCTACTCATGAATGATGAAATAGATTTGCTCAGGGTTGTTCCAAAGGTCAGAGGACGGAGCAGTGGATGGTGGTGATTTCAGCCCAGCAAAGATTTCCAACAGGGCTACAAGCTACTCTGCAAGGGGTGGCTCTCACCAAAGGAGGCACATAGAAGTCTATGGAGAATCCATGGAAAGGATTTTTGCTACAGTAGAGGCAGGCAGATAGGAGACTACCAGGAAACCTGTGGAGAGGATTTTTGGAGGCTTAAGATTCCATGGCCTGGTACAGTTGGACCGATCTAAATGTACACATTCCATTGTTCCATTCCATTATTGTTCTAGGCTTTAAGCCAGCTGCCGAAGCAACTGAGACGGCAGAGCCACAGCATGTGCTTTAAGAACACCGGTCACGGCCGGCATGTGGATGTGTGTGTGTGTGTGTGTGTGGGGTGGGGAGGATGCCAGATCAATATACACCAAGTCACAGCCCAGGAGATGTGTGTGTGTGCGTATGTGTATATGTATGTACATGTGTGCATATGTGCGTGTGTGTGTGAGAGAGAGAGAGAGCATGCACCAGATCAATATACACTGAGTCACAGCCCAGGAGAAAGAAAAATTGGCTGTGCAGGGAGAGTCAGGAACTGCCACAAAAGTGGCAGTCAAGCTGTGACCTAAGGGCAGAAAGGACTTTGAGACAGGAAGTGAGCATTCTAGGCAGCAGGACCAGCCTGCATAGGCAGGGAGATAGGTCTGAGAAAGTCCAGAAACAAAATATTGATGAATCACTTCAGCCGCCAATCACTGGTGAACTCAGACTGTGCATCGGTGCATGGCTAATGCTTGTTCTCAACCAGCAAGTTTTAGTGGGTGGACTGAAGTTGTGTATAGCAGGCAGGAACATGGGGTTTGGTTCAGCTCTGCGCCTGGAGGGCAGATCCCTTCTGAGTTCTGTAGAGCCTGGATCAAGAACAGGAGGGCATGGCCGACCAGCCCTCATATCTCCTTGTAGGTACCCCAATCCAGAGGGTTTTTTTAAAAATTAATTTTAATGAAAGTTTACAGAGACTTAGGGTTTCCATTCATTCATTGTTGCACTTTTCTCCCTGCCCACCCTCTCCCCCCAGTTAACTCTTCTCTTTGAAAAGTAGGAAAAAAATTCTTTCGTTGTTACACAATCCCTCCCCCCCACCCCAGATCCACTCCACTGTCCAGCCTTCATTCTGGACTTCTGTAAAGACAAGAATACCCAATCATATATCCCTTTTAAACAGTTCTCTCCCTCATCTGTTTCAATGCAATATACATCATTCCTTCCCTCCTTTTTGTCTTCCCTCAACCCTGATGTTAGTCCCTTTTACAACAGTGGCCCTATGCAATATTTGTCCTTTTGTGACTGAGATATTTCACTCAATATAATGTCCTCCAGGGTCACCCATTTTGAATACTATTGCATGAGTTCCTTGTTTTTCAATGCAGCATAGTGTGTGAATATACCAGAGCTTGTCTATCCATTCATTTATTGATAGGCACTTGAGTTGTTTCCAACTCCTTGTTATTGTGAATAAAGCCGCAATAAACATGGGTGTGCATATTCCAGAGATCTTTTTTATCTTGATTTCTCTCAAGTTACTAGGCTCAATCTGGCCCCACCAGTGGACTCCAAGGCCTGGGCTGCCCTTCTGGGGGGTGAGGACAGGGAACCAAGGAGATTAAATGCCTTTCTCTCCCCCTTGCATCTCACCAGGAACAGGAGAATGTGCTCCAGAGGGTCCTACAGTTGCCTGTGGTGAGTGGCACCTGTGAATGTTTCCAGAAGACCTACACCAGCACCAAGGAAGCCCACCCTCTGGTGGCCTCTGTGTGTAGTGCCTATGAGAAGGGTGTGCAGGGCGCCAGCAACTTGGCCGCATGGAGCATGGAGCCCGTGGTCCGCAGACTGTCTACCCAGTGTGAGTCCTCAAGGCAGTTGGCTGACTTCCTGCCTCTTAGTGAAGTTCACATTTGGCTTCCAGTCTCTCTAATTGTCTGATAAAGTGCTTGTGTGTCTACTTACTACATCTGTCTGCCTACCTATCTAGCTGCATCCCATTGCGTGTTTATCTAAGGCGTTAGGAGACTAGAATGACAGTGATAGAACTCCCCAGGCCATAATCTGCCTGAGCCAATGCTGCAACAGCCACAGCAGCAGGAAGAGGAGAGCGGTACAAAGGCAGAGCAGAAAGTGCCTGCCTTAGGGCCGGCCTGGCAGAGTTTGGAGTGAGAGAGTGAGAAGCCTCTGACTCTAGCAACTGATAATGGCAGCTTGTGGCAGGCGGGGGCAGCAGAGAGCTGTGAACAGGAACTGGAGACAGAGGGCAATGATTCATCATGCCTCTGGAGACTAGCCTGCATCTTCCCAGCTGTCCCTATCCCCATCCCTGCTTCCCCATCCTAATGATACTGTTTCAGTAAAAAAAAAAATAATAGGACTTCCAAGGCTCTTGACCAAACTGTCATCAGTTCATTCTGAATCATAGCGATCCTGTTGTATTTCTGATTCTGAACAGTGTTAGCAGGAGAATGCCTTACTTTCCTCCCTCAAAAAAGCTGGTGGTTTTGAACTTCCAGCTTTTTTATTAGCAGACCACAACACTTAACCTACCACACCACCAGGACCCCTTAAGGCTCTTGACAGTGAGGGAAATTCCAACAGCTAAGAAATCCAGGACCTTCCAGCATCTTAGAGAATTTTAGGTGCCTGCAGATGCTGCAGAGCAAGCAAGCGAAGGTGGGACAGCCTCCTTGCCTGCAGGCTCCTTCAATTTCCCAGAGATTCATTTTGCCCAGTCTAAAGATGGCTAATTAATGTGGACATTCTGCTGCTCAGAAATTTCATGGAGAAAAAGAAGAGAACCTGGAGAAGGATGTATGAAAGAACATGTGTCCTTGGCAGCTCTGGGCAGGATCCCTTGAAGCATTTGCATCCCCTGGTGCTTGCCTCAATACCTAGGAGCATTCCTTTTCCCTTTGACCCTCTCCAAGAAGGATTGGTAGTTGGAAATTATGGACTTGGAGACCACAATAAGGCTGGAGATAGAATGGTTGAATTTTGTACAATCAATTATTTATTCATTGCAAATATCCAGCTTCAGCTGCTTGGCTTCACAATCAGCACTCTTAGTACCAGCAGCCAGGAAATCAAAAGACAAATTTAATTGGGAAAATCTGCTATCAGGGACATCTCTAGAGGACTGAAGAGCAACAATGTCAGTCTGGAAACTAAGATATGCCTGATCAAGGCCATGGTCTTTGCAATCACTTGCTATGCATCAGAAAGCTGGACAATGACTAAAGATGGTAGAAGAAGAATTGATGCCTTTGAGTCATGGTGCTGGAGAAGAGTATTGAATGTACTATGGACTGCTAAGAGAATGAACAGATTCATCCTGAGAGGGTTAAACCAGAAAGCTCTTAGGAGGCAAGGATTTTGCAACTCCATCTGACATACTTTGGGCATGTTGCAAGGAGGGACTAATCCTTGGAGAAGGACATTATGCTTGGAATGGTGAAGGGACAGTGCAAGAGAGGATTGATTCAGTGACTGGAGTAATGGGGGTAGGTATGTCAGAGATTATGAAATTGGCTCAGGATAGAGCAGAATTCAGAGCTCTTGTACATAGGCTCACTGTGAGTCACAAGTGAATAGACAATGCATAAAAACAACAGCAATAACTTTAATTTATAAAAACCACAAATGATGACTCTACACATGGATCTCACCTGATGGATTACACAAGAGTCAGATTGACTACGTCTGTGGAAAGAATTGTTGGAGAAGCTCAATATCAGCAGTCAAAACCAGGCCAGTTGCTGACTATGGAACAGACCATCAACTACTAATGTGCAAGTTCAAATCAAAGCTAAATAAAATGAAAACAAACTCACAAGAACCAAAATATGACCTTGAGGCTGTCCCACCTAGGATTTTAAAACCATCCCAAGAATAGGTTTGAGGCCTTAAGTGTGAATACTATGAATTGAAGACCAGATAAGCTGTGGGATGATATCAAGGATATCATCCATGAAGAAAGCAGAAGGTCATTACAAAAACAGAGGAGGAATAAAAGACCAAAATTATGTCAGAATAGACTGAAAATTGCTAGAATGCCAAGAAGCCAAAAGAATGGGAAGAAATGACAAAGTAAAAGAGTTGAACAGAAGATTTCAAGGGGCAGCTCAAGAAAACAAAGTTTATAACAAAATGTTCAAAGAGCTGGAGCCAGAAACGCAAAAGAGAAAAACTCAACATTTCTCAAGCTTAGAGAACTGAAGAACAAATTCAAGCCTTGAGTTGCAATACTAAAAGATGTCATGGGCACCTTGAGTTGTCTTAAATGATCCAAGAAGCATCAAAAGAAGATGGAAAGAATACACAGAGTGACTCACTGTAGGAAAAAAAAATGGCTAACAGACCCATTTCAGAAAATAGCATATGATCAGGAACCAATGGTAATAAAGGAAAAAGCTGAAGCTGCTCTGAAGGAATTGCTAAAAAAATAAGGCCCCAAGAATTGATGGCATACCAGTTGATATATTGCAACAAACAGATGCAGTCCTTGACGTGCTCACAAGTTTGTACATAGAAATGTGGAGGGTAGCTGTCTGTCCAACTCACCATATTTATTCCCATTCACAAAAGGTGATCTAATAGAATGTGGAAATTATTGAACAATATCATTAATATCACATGCAATAAAAATCTTGCTGATGATTATCCAAAAATGGCTTGGCAGAGAACTACTAGAAATACAATCTGGATTTAGAAGAGTCTGTGGCATCAGGGATATCATTGCTGATGTCAGATGGATCTTTACCAAAAGCAGAGAATACCAGAGTGATGTTTTATTGACTAGGCACTTCACTGTATGAATCATAACAAATTATGGCTAACATTAAGAAGAATGGGGATTCCAAAATACTCAATTTTGCTCATGTGAAACCTATACCAAGAACTTGTTGTCTGAACAGAGTGTGTCAAGGATGTATCCTTTCTCCATGCCTTTTCAATCTATATACTGAACAGATCATTCGGAAAGCTGGACTTTATGAAGAAGAGTCAGAATCAAAGTGTGACATCATTAACCACCTGCATTATGCAGATGACAAAACCTTGCTCACCCAAAGTGAGGAGGACGTGAAGCACTTGCTGCAGAAGATCAAGGAATACAACTTTCAATGTAAATTACATCTAAACATCAACAAAACAAAAATCCTCACCATGTGACCAACAGACAGCATCATGATAGATGGAGAAAAGAATGAAGTTGTTAACGATTTCATCTTACTTGGATCTACAAATTAGTCTCGTGACACCAGCAGTGAGGAAATCAAAAGATGTGTTGCATTGAAAAAACTCTTTTGTTTGTCAATGACGTTTCCAGAGTACTAAAGAGCAGTGATACCAGTCTAATGACTAAGGTGTGCTCAATACACTCCATGGTCTTTTTAATTGCTTGCTGTACTTCTGAAAGCTGAACAATGACTAAAGATGACAGAAGAAGAACAGATGCCTTTGAGTTACGGTGCAGGAGAAGATTATTGAATAACCTGTGGACTGCCAAGAGAACAAACAGGTCTGTCCTGGAGAAAGTAAAACCAAGGTGCTCCTTGGAGGCAAGGATGGTCTCACATACTTTGAATTGTTAGAAGGGGCCAGCTCTTGGGGAAGGACATCATCCACAGAAAAGGAGAAGGTAATTGTTAGAGAAGAAGACCCTCAAAGAGATGAATTTACACAGTGACTGTAGCAATGGGGTCAAGTGTATTGGAGATGGTGAGGTTACATAGAATGGGGCAAGGTTCAGAGCTGTTGTTCATAGAGTCACTGAGATTCATAGTCCACTCAAGGACACACAACAACAAACCTAAGGCCCAGCGCCAGGGCCCCATTGTACCCCCGTCCCACACTCACAGCATCCTTTTCCTCCCTACCTCTAGGATTTGCTCAGAGCCCTAGAGCCAGAGTGGTGGGAGAAGCATGAGGGGGAGTCCAGTTGGCGATTCACACAATTTCTGTCACCTCATTCTCATTAAAAGCTGTTCTCTGTGTTCTTACCTGGGAGCCTGCGGCTCAGGGGGGTTGTGACTTGACAGAAGCCACACATGGCAATCTGGGTGCTGGGCTTTGAAGTCAAATGTGACTGACTGTGGAATTCCTGCACAGATGGAAAATGGGGCCTTAGCTCTCTGAATCCTGGTGGCCAGGGATGAAGACTGCCAAGGGCCCTGGGTGGCCAAGAATAAAGATGGCCAAGGGCCTCGGGTGGACAGGGGTGAAGACGGCCAAGATGCTTCACCAAAGACATTCAAGATGCTTTGGTGGCAGTAGGACTAGCGATGTGAGGCCTCGGCCCCTTGGCCTAGAGGACACTGTGAGCTACTTACTATCGAGTACATGGATTACCCCATGTGGCCCTTTGTTTTCAGTCACAGCAGCCAATGAGCTGGCCTGCCGAGGTCTGGACCACTTGGAGGAGAAGATCCCAGCCCTCCAATACCCTCCAGAGAAGGTAAAGCCCCTTCCTCCTCCCCTCCCCCTGCTGTCCCTGCCTCCTTTGCATCTCAGCTTAGGGTTGGCAAAGCCAGAAGCTGATGGTGACCTGACAGCGAGTTTTTCCTTTCTCTGGCAAATGTCCCTAAAGCCTGAGGGAGGTTTCCTGCCCCCAGGATTGCAGGTGGAGCCAGATGCAAGCAGAATTTCTGTAACACCCACAAAGAACACCCAAACAGGAGCATGAGATAGGTCTCACTGACGCCCAATACTTGTCCCTGGGCTCTGGAGTTCTGGGGGCTTGCATCTGGCCACTGAGTGACCACAGTCCCCTAAGACCTGGAACACACTTGTGAGGATCCTGGGATTGCACTCCTGTGACATTAAGATCCAACATTATGGATGACGAGGCTGAGAATGCCACTGCCACTGGAGAGCTATTTGGTGACTCGTTATCATGGGTAAGGGCTGGTGCCATGTGCTTTGGGGTAATAAGCTGCAGTCTTCCCCGTGCCCACCTCCCTGACTCCCTCCCCTCCCAGTGTTCACAGAGCTGTGTCAGATGCCATCACATCTGATTATACACCCTTGCTTTTAATCCTCTCATCCACCCTCTAGGCTAGGGCTAGTGATCCCCAGCTGGGCAGTCTAAAGTAGAGGCCGCATGAGTGTCTGTCAGCTTGGCCCTGAGACCTGTGCTCATCACTCCCCATTTTTTCAGATGAAAAGCAGTGCTATTGTCATTACTTTTAAGCTAAGAAGAAATACAAACACATTATTTTCTCAGTCTTTTCCTTGTGGAGGTCCTGTAGTGTTCTGTGAACTTTTGTTAGGACACCCTTGTCTGAGATGTCATTGCCACATGTTTTTTCCCAGTCTGTAGGGTTTCTTTTCACTCTATTGGTAAATGTTTTTGATACACTCAGGGACCTAATCTTTAGAAGGCCTCATTTGTCAATTATATCTTCTCCTGGTTGTGCAAAAGTATATTATTTTAGTACAGAACTTACTTTGACTTTAGATGCTGTTGAGTTGACCACAGCTCATCGTGGCCCTGTGAGCAACAGATTTGAACCTTGCCCTATCCTGTGCCACCCTCACCATCCCTGGTCTGCTTAAGGCCATGGTTACAGTCACAGTGTCAATCCAGCTTGGTGGTGGTAATGCATGCATGGTTTATTCTGACTTATAGTGACTCTATAGGACAGAGTATAATTGTCCCATATGATTTCTGAGGATATAAATATTACAATAGCAGACTGCCTCATTTCTCCTACAAAGTAGCTGGTGGCTTCAGTGTTGTTGTTGTTGTTAACTGCCATCGAGTCGCAGGCGACTCATAGTGACTCTAGTAAGGAGAGTCCTCGATGCTTGGGTGCCTTTCATCCTCTCTCCAGGTTCATAGGATTTCTGGAGGCAAGCTATTATGGAAGTGGATGCCACTCCTGCTTCCAAGCTTGTTTTAATCCACCCCACTCTCTGTCCGCATTGGGTAACCAGCCATTAACACATTTGACACATCAGTGTCACAGTGTTCAGCCTAACAGCAACCACAAGTGACCATGGTATGGCAACTTGTATACCAGGGCTATATGACCTAGGGGACTATCTGAATAAAAACAATGAAAGACAGGCCTGAGGGCCACAGATTAAAAGTTACCCACCTTCGGCTTGGTAGCATCGCCTTCTGTCCACTGGGCAAGCTGATCTCTCTGTGTTGATGTTATTGTGGTGGCTTCAGTACCTGACCTTTTAGTTAGCAGCCAAGCACTCGACTGCATGCTGGGCAGCACTTCCATTGTTGTTGTTAGGTGCCATTGAGGCGAGCATGGCTCATAGTGATCTGTGAATGAAAGACCTGAATCCTGTTCTATCCTGCACCATCCTCACACTTCCTGACACACAAGAGCCCATTGCAGCTGTCACTGTGTCAGTCCACCTGGCTAAGGGTCTTCCTTCTCCTTTGCTGACCCTCCACCCTTCCCAGCACCATGTCCCTCTCCAAGGAATAGCCCCTCCTAACAACATGTCCAAAGAAAGTGAGACGAAGCTTCATCATTATTACCTCCAAAAAGCACTCTGGCTGCACCCTCTCTAAGACATATCTGTTCATTCTCTTGGCTGTCCATAGGATGTTCAATGCTGTTCTCCAACACCACAGCTCAAAAGTGTCAATTATTTTTCTACCATCCCTATTTACTGTCCAGCTCTCAGATGCATAGCACATCCATGTTGTTGTTGTTATGTGCTGTCGAGTCGTTTGCGACTCATAGCGACCCTGTGTACAACAGCCCTAAACCCTGCTCTGTCCTTTCCAATCGCACTGCCTCTGACCCATCCCGATTACCCCAGTCACTGAATCAATCCATCTCATAGAGGATCTTCCCCTCCTGTGCTATCCCTCCACCCTCCCAAGCATGATGTCCCTCTCCAAGGACCTGTCTCTCCTTAAAACATGTCCAAAGTATGTCAGACGAAGCCCCAGAATCCTTGCCTCCAAGGAGTAGCCTGGCTTAACCCTCTCTAGGATGAATCTGGTTTTTTTTCTTGGCAGTCCATGGTACATTCAATACTCTTCTCCAGCACTACATGAATTCTCCTTCTATCCTCCCTAGCCATTGTCCAACTCTCTGATGCATAACAAGTGATTGCAAATACCATGGCCTGTATCAGGCGGACCTTAGTCTCCAGAGAGACACTGTTGCTCTTAAGTACTTTAGAGAGGTCCCTAACAGCAGACTTTCCCATCGAAATACGTTTTTTGATTTCCTGGCTGCTGGTGCCAAGAGTGTTGACCGTGGAGCTGAGCAAACTGAAGCTGTGAACAATCTCGATCTCTTCGCCATCCATCCTGATGCTACCAACTGGTCCAGTGGTGAGAATCTTTGTCTTCTTGACATTGAGCCTCAGTCCATACTGAAGGCTGCAGTCCTTGACCCTCTGTAGCAAGTGCATGAGGTCCTCCTCGGTTTCAGCAAGCAGGGTTGTGTCTTCTGCATAACACAGATTGTTAATAGATCTTCCACCAATCCTGACGCCATACTTCTCCTCATAGAGCCCAGCCTCTCAGATAATCTGCCCTGCATACAAGTTGAAAAGGTATGGAGATAGGACACATCCCTGGCGTACACCCTTCCCAATTTTGAACCATGCAGTGTTACCCTGCTCTGTTCTGACGACTGCCTCTTGGTCCAAGTATAGGTTTCGCATTAGCATGATTAAATGTTCTGAGATTCCCATTCTTCTCAGAGTCAGTCACAGTTTGTTATGATCCACACAGTCAAACACCTTTGCATAATCAATGAAACACAAACATTCTTCTGGTGTTCCCTGCTTTCAGCTAAGATCCATCTAACATCAGCTACAATATCCCTAGTACCATGACCCCTTCTAAACCCAGCCTGGACTTCTGGAAGTTCTCTGCTGACGTGCTGTTCCAGTCATTTTTGGGTAATCTTCAGTAGAATCTTGCTTGCATGTGAAATCAATGATAATGTTCTGTAGTTTCCACACTCTGTTGGGTCACCCTTCTTTGGAATAGGAACAAATAATGCAGGTGGGCACATAACCTGTGACAGGGTTGTGGTACAGGGGATTTAGAAGAGGAGCTGCCTGAGTGTAGGAGGTTGTCAGGACAGGTGACATTAGCAACTCCAGACCCTGAGTAGCAGCCCCTCCCCAGGTCTGCAGGACCCATTTTCCTGACCCTCCACCCCCAGATCGCCTCTGAGCTCAAGGACAGCATCTCCACCCGCCTTCGAAGTGCCAGGAACAGCATCAGCGTGCCCATTGCAAGCACTTCAGACAAGGTCCTGGGGGCTGCACTGACTGGCTGTGAGCTCGCCTGGGGTGCCGCCAAAGACACAGCGGAATTTGCTGCTAATACCCGAGTTGGCCGGCTGGCCTCAGGAGGGGCTGACCTGGCCGTGGGCACTGTGGAAAAGATGGTAGATTTCCTCCTTTCTTCAGCCAAGGAAGACTCAGGTACCTGCTGCTGCTGGAGGATGGGGGCAGGGAGGCTGCCCCTGAGGGAGCGAGGTGGCCACCCAAATGGGAATCAGAGGAGAAGGTCAGGCTCACACCGCCAGGCTGTGGGCACAGGGAGGGCCCTGGGGAATTCTCACATGGATTGTTATCACTTGGTCCCCTTCTTGCCATCTGTAAGTGGATAAAATGGGCTGCACAATCTGGTGACTTTGTGGGACTTTCCAGCCTGGATACAACCCAGGTTTCCTCAGCCCCTCTTTGATCTCTTTACCCTCCTTTCCCCCAAACCTCCACCCAGCCCCTGGCTCTGAACGCCAGAGGGCCCAGAAGAAACCAACCAAGGGTAAGCCGAGCCTCCTGAACAGGGTCGGGACCCTGGCCAACACCCTGTCTCGACAAACTTTCCAGACCACAGCCTGGGCACTGAAGCAGGGCCACGCGGTGGCCATGTGGATTCCGGGGGTGGCACCCCTGGTGAGTATACTGGCCCTGCATTCTGACCAGCCCCTGGCCTGGCTATCCTGTGCACAGCTTTTGCCTCCTAGTCCCTACTCTCTACAACTCAGCTCTGTCTTTCCCTGGGGACCTGGGCTGGAATTTTAGGTCTAAGGACAAGAAGTCTTAAAAGAGTGGAGGTGTTGGCTCCTGGCCACAGAGGGAAAGAAGGGACAGGGTGAGAGCTTAGGGCAGGCTGACCATGCTAGGATGCTAAGGTACTTTCTTTCTCCCCCATTCGCCCTCACAAGTCGGCCCCTTGATGTAGTTTGTCTCTCCACCTATATGGAAGCAGAGGTGTGCTCATAGCTGCTCATCTGCATTAATGTCATCTTTAAATAAACAAGGCACAGCATTCACCATGTTAGGAGAGAGCCCATGTCCCCTTCTGCCTCCAACTCTCCTCTCTAGAAGTCTTCTAAATCCCATCCCCACTGCTCTAAAGTGTGGCTGCCTTTTTGAGGTCCAGGTGGGAGTACTGTCCCACACTGGCTCCTTCCTCTCTATACTTCAGCAGAGATAGGCTGGGGCTTTTCATAAGAGACTTTCATAAGCAATCACATTTTAAAAAAGAAAGTATAAAGTGCAGCAAATGAGCAGTGTCCTTGTCACCCAGGACTGGAGCAGCACAGGGAGCCGCTCCTTGTTGGAGGATTCCCACCCTTCTCTGCATCCGGAGAAGAGGCAGCAGCACTGGGAAATAGGCATGGAGAGAAGAAAATGGATTCAGTACTCAGGTGTCTGCTTCACTCCCTGAGTGAGCACCGTGGCCGTGAACACTCGTGGGATGTTACTGTTTTTTTTGTGGGAGATGAAATTTCCAGGCCCACAGGAACTGTCTTTCGGCTTCTGGTCTTTGCAGTGGGCTGGCAAACTGGCAAACCAGGCTTTGGAATAGAGGATATCTTTGCAGAAACTCTCATTGTACCTTTAGTTCTAAAATCATCTGTGTTCAGCCAGCTTTACTTGCTGTGTTCCTGCCGAAGATCATGAAAGAGAAGGATCATTGTTACTGACTCAGAACGAGATGACGTCATTTTCTGCCCTGGAGATTTTGCTGAGTGACAAAGCACAGCACTATCCTAACCCAGGCTCCATTGCTATTTCACATGTGGCCTCCTGGTCCTGCTGTCACCCTCCCCCTTTGACAAATATCACACGTACTCGGAAGCTCCCTACCTCCATGAATCAGGGGACTTTTAGTCAAACACAAGGAAATGGAGAGGTATTGGAATCCTTGGCCTCACCACGGCTGCCTCTCAACATTATTGTGCTAAACCTGAAATACTTAGAATACCACCATATGCCAGTTCTTCACTACCAAACCGCATGTCTCCTTCCATAAATGGACCCATTCAGAGTCAGCAGCCATGGCATGGTGCTGCTTTAACAGAAAATGAGGCCAACAAAGAGGACAAAGAAGAAATGAGAGAGGATGATGATGATGGTGAAGGCACTATTAGCTCCAGGCCAGGCTCAGCAGCGAGCAGTAAACAAACCTTTGATCCATCAGCTGATATCCCCAAAGTACCACTTTTGATGAATCACTGATAGAGAAGATGCTAATCCCTACACACTACAAGAACCACCCTCTTTCTAATTCTTTAAAAAGTTTAAATATAATTACTAGAAAAACTAATAATCCAGGCTTAAGCGCAAACCACCTAATGGAGAATCAGAAAAGCAGGGCTTTAGATCCAGCTACTGAAGTTGAAGGCTTGCCAATCAGTTTCAAGGTTTATGCAAATATTGGCAAAGACACTTAAGACATAGTGACCCCTGTCAATGAGGAAGAAGAAGCCAGGCTTGAGGATGATGTGCCAAAACCCCCTGGTAGAGAGATGACAAATGTGTGAAAGTGAAACGTGATAAACACTAGTAGGTACGAGTAGGTGGAAGACTAAAATATCCTGTTGTCTGCAGTAGGTCATATGTGTTTCTGATAAGCTTGCAAAGACATTTTAACACTCGTTCTTGGGAGAAGCATCCACACAGCTACTGGGAGGTATTTCCTCTTGTAGAATACCATGCTAAGCATGCAGTTCACCACACAGGAGAAGGAAGATCTTGGTGTTTGACCTGCAACTCTCACCATATAACAGGTGTATCTTGTGTCAGAATTACTGAGACTGGCTCAGGACAGGGCAGAGTTCATAGCTGCTTGTACATAGGGTCGCTGTGGGTCACAGGTGACTCGACAGCACATTACAACAACAACAAACCTTCACACATGAAGTCAGTTAATAGGAACTTTCTAGCGACTCCAAGCTTAGCCTTTCCATCTATGTGAGTGATTACAGATCAGACAGTGCATCTGTTGGACACTTCACCTGTAAGGAGGAGTGATGGTCCTAGGTGTAAGGCTGATGCTGGGAAAGATTCTTCGGTAGGGATCACAGCTGCTCAGAACCAGCCAATGACCGGCGGTGATATTTTAAATCAACAGGAAAATAATTCCATTTTAAAACAGAATGTAACAGAGGGCAGTATACAGAGTTTGACTTTATCGTATCAGAATTTTACTGAACTCTTTTGAAGTATCAGAAAGTTTTGCTTTGGATTAGGAGCAATGGTTTCAGAAGACCCTCGCTGTTATTGCCATCCAGGCAGAAATGACTCATAGTGGACCCTCCAGCGGTTTTTCAGAAACTTTAAATCACATGGGAGGAGATTGCCCATCTTTCTCCCTAGAAGCAGCTGGTGAATTTGAACCCCCCACCTTTGGGTTGACTAGGCCACTACAACTTCCTTCTAGAAGACTCGTAAAACGAATTAAGGTGAACATGAGTCAGTTTTATCTACTGTGTCATTTAAAGGCAGGCTAGTTGGATTGTTGATGAGTTTTAGAAAAAAAATTTTTTGAAAGTTTGTGCAGAGACTAAAAGGTTTTCTCCTAAGTATCTGCTTATGTTGTTAGTTTTCAGCTCATTAAAAAAGGCAATTTGTTTTGTTTTGGTTTTCTTTTTGTTTAAAAGAGACAGTTTCCAAAAAATTACTTAGAGAATTATCTGTACAGAATTTAAAGTAGCCTGCATGCTCTTTCAAAATCTCTGGAGTTATTAGCATATTCTAGTACATACTACAACTTTCACATTTCATATTAGTGGTTTATCCTTAAATTGTGGATTTTGTTAACACAGAGACTATAAATATGTGCTGTGTCTTGTATATGACACAAAAAGTACACAAGAACTTCTAAATTTGTTCAGAAATTTTTCTGTATTCTCCACTTGTATAATCTGCTAATCAAATCATAGTCTCCACACCTCACACACCTGTCCCCATGAAAATGGCCACAAAGACAGGTGTGTCATAGGAAAGTTTAGTTCTTTTTAGTTAATCAGATTCAAGACCTGCTCTCCCTTTTTTTTTAAGATCTGCTCTTGTTGCCACTGTCTGGAATAGACTCTGAGTCACATTAGGCCTTTGCAATGTAGTGTCTTGGGAGGTGGGGACAAAGAAGGAGTACTGATGGGAAAATAGATTTCTATAATGCAGAAGGTAGGGATGAAAAGTTCAACTGCATTGATTTTTAATTCTGTAATCTTACATGACAGAGAGTAGAATTGAATAGAAATTTCCTTTTGGTCCTTTATGGTAAAAAATATTCCTATGAAGTTTTTAAAATTTTAAATCAGAAAGCCATCAAATGAATCTTTAAATATATATAAACTCATGACTGCTGTGATGCTGAACACTGTGACACTAATGTGTCAAACATGATGATGGTTACCCATGGTGGACAGTGTTTGGTGGAGCTCCCCCATTAAAACAAGCTTGGAAGCAGCCAATTCCGAAATAGCTTGCCTCCGGAAACTATGAACTTGGAGAAATGATGAAAGTTATATAAGTGTTCAGGTCTTTCGTTCATAGGGTCGCTGTGAGTCATCTATAACTCAATGGCACTTAACAACAATAATAATATGTATCTATCTTTATAAAGGATAGACTCCATAAATGAAATTCCTCCTACATATTCTGGGTGGGAAAGTACAGGCTTTTATTTTAAAATGTTCGTATTATTTAGAATCTCCAGTAGGAATTTTTTTATTTGACAAAATTAAATCCAATAATATTTTCTTTCAGCAAGACCTTTAAACTTTCACCCTTCTAATATAAATTCCACTCCATCTGCAAGTTACTGCAATAATGTAACAACTGGAAACTATATAGAAATCACCTGTTGGAGCAGCTGGTGGTTTCAGACCTTGTGCCTTTGGGATCACAGTGCAGTATCTTACCACTAGGTCTCCAGACGTTCCCCTGTGACTCCAGTAGACAAAAAAATTAATAATTTTATTTGTCCTTTGTTTGGGGCTAGTATCAAGCTGTGGCTAGCTCTGAGAAGAATGGGAACCCTAGAACACTTGATTGTGCTTATTGTAAAACTTATATTTGGACCAGGAGGCAGTTGTCAGAACAGAGCAAGGAAACACTGCATGTTTCAAAATCAGGAAAGGTGTACACCAGGGATCCATCCCATGTCCATACCTTTTCAGTCCAGATGTGGAACAGATCATTTGAGATGCTGGACTTTATGAGGAGGAATGAGATATCAGAATTGGATGAAGAGTCATTAACAACCTTTGTTATGCAGATGACACAACCTTGCCTGCTGAACCAGGATGACCTGACCTGAGGCATTTGCTGCAGAAGGTCAAGGGCTGCAACCTTCAATGTGGATTGAAGCTCACCACTGGGCCAATTGGCAGCATATGATGAACGGTGAAGAGATTGAGATTGTTAACAGATTCAGCTTGCTTGGCTCCAAATCAATATTCAAGGTACCAACAGCCAGGAAATCAAAAGACAAATTGCAATGGGAAAATCTGTCTGAGATCCCTTTAGAGTGCTGAAGAGCAGTAATGCCAATCTAGAGACTAAGGTGTACCTGATCCAGGCCATGGTCCATCACAATTACTTCCTGTGCATCAGAGAGCTGGACAGTGACTAAAGATGAGTTGTGGTGTTGGAGAAGAGTATTGAATATACCATGAACTTCTAAGAGAACAAACAAGTCTGTCCTGGAGAGGGTGAGACCAGGCTGCTCCTTGGAGGCAAGGATTTTGAAGCTCTGTCTGATATATTTTTTTATATGTTGCAAGGAGAGACAAGTCCTTTGAGTGGGACATCATACTTGGAAGGGTAGAGGGACAGCACAGGAGAGGAAGACCCTGGATGAGATAGATTGACTCACTGGGGGGAATAGGGGTAGGTGTATCAGAGACAGTAAGGTTGGCTCAAGATAGAGCAGGTTTCAGAGCTGTTGTACATAGGGGAGTTGCAAGCAACTCGACAGCATGTAACAATAATACCAAACAATACTAAGATAATTTACCAGTCAGGATCAAGACTAACTTTCGTGTCCTGCTCTGTCCCCTATATGGTGGGTAGAGTCCACTGCCTGACACATCTTCAGGGACTACCATTTATGTCATGATGCCCCCTAAAATTGTATCACAGAGGAGTTGTTTATGGGGATACATAGAGGGATTGAGTGAGCCAAACTGGGCCTCTGGGAACGTGCTCCCCCTTAATCAACTCCATTTATTTCCGTGGGGACATTTGATTTCCTTTTTTACCTTTTGTAGATCTGAGAGGAATATCTATGGAAATTAAACATAAAGTATTACCCAGCCATTCTACCCCTAGATGTAAACCCAACAAAAACAAGCACAAAATGATGAGCAGAAAATTGCTCCTGTCAGCTCTACCCTTAGCCAAGACTTTGAAACATCATACATGTGTCCAGTAAAGTAGAGAAAGAAATTGTGGCATAATTGCCTAATGGAATATTACAGAGGAATGAAAAAGGAGCAACTCCTGTACACAACACAGGGATGAACCCACAATGTCAAACAAAAGAAACTGCTTGTGGAAGGATATGTACAGAGTACAAAAATACACAAAACTCAGCCATGGTCGTAGAGGTCAGAGTTATGATCACCCTTGGGGAAGAGTATTGACTGGGCAGGGGCACAGGAATCTTCGAGATGTTGCAAACAGCCTTTATCTTGACCCAGGTGGTTTTCCACAGGCATATAATTGTAAAAAGTCGTGGGGCTGTAACTAAAGACGTGTGTGCTTTGGCATATGTAAGCTCTCAGTGAAAATTTAAGCAGCAGCCCGGGCAAGCCTCTGCTCCCCTGCACCCCTTGCCCTGGGGTGAGGGGCGCTGGCTGCTGCGGGGCGCTGTGGCACCAGCAGTCTTTTCCACCCTCAGAGCAGCCTGGCCCAGTGGGGCAGGTCGGCGGCCATGCAGGTGGTGTCCCGTCGGCACAGTGAGGTGCGGGTGCCCTGGCTGCACAACCTCACAGCTGCCAAGGAGGAGGACCATGAGGGAGAGGACCAGACGGACACAGACGGGGAGGAGTCCCAGGAGGAGGATGAAGGTGATGAGGAGGAGACTGAGGAGAACCTGAGTGAGGTGAGGCTGAGTGAAGGATCGAGGTGGGGGGCTGGGGGCAGAGGGGCACCTCTGAGCCAGGACATGGTGCAGGGATGGTGTACCGTTCTTCACCTCACCCCAGCAAAGCATCTGGCCTGCATGGCATGCCCAGCAAAGACCCTTCCAACAGCACTGTGGGAGACTCAGGGTGGAATTATTGTCCTCGTTTGCACAGAACACTGATGTTCAGAGCGGCAAGGAATTTGGCAGAGGTTGTGTCCTCTCCCCTCTGGTGGCCGAGTCTGTAGGGTATTATGCTGCTAACCCAGAAGGGGTGCCTGTCTGGCAGTTCAAATCCACCAGCAGCAACTCTGAGGGAGAAAGATGGGCAGTCCTCCCTTGTGACTCAGCCCCTCAGGAAAACTCATTGGAGGGACGGCTCTGAGTCAGTTCTGACTCCCCAGCAAAGAGCAGCCCCCTGCTCCAGGGATGGTTCTGGGGCCCTGGGAGTTTCTTCAGGATGTGCTCACCTTTCTTTGTCCCCCAGGTGGCAGCCCTACCTGGTCCAAAAGGCCTACTGGGCACTGTAGCGCACACAGTGCAGATGGCCCTCCAGACCACCATCTCAGCCGTGACATGGGCACCGGCCACTGTGATGGGCCTGGCGGGACGGCTGCTGCATCTCACTCCCGCCCATGCCGTCTCCTCGACCAAGAAGAGGGCCATGTCCCTGTCGGATGCCCTGAAGGGTGTTACTGACAATGTGGTGGACACCGTGGTACACTACGTGCCGGTGAGTGCCACCCTGGCCAGCACTCCTTTCCCCTGGAGCCTGGATGAGCACAGAGATTGTACAAGTGACTGAAGGGACCGAGGCTTCCTCCTTCCCAGCCCCCTTGAAGGGTCTTTTTCTATTCTCAACATCCCAGACACAGACATGCTGTGGTTTTGATCTTCTCTGAGATCCTTTTCAGCACCCTGAGTTTAGGAGCCCTATGCCCTCCTAGGTCTTCTCCCCAACCTCCCCACCTGCTGGGGAGGATGTCACCTACCTGTTATCTATTTGAGTGTCCTCACAGTCCCAGTTCTCCCCAGCTGAAGGACCAGGCAGGTTTGCCTGCTGTCCCCAAGGAAGGTGTTGGAAGGAGACTTCTGGGGGCTCTGAGGGGATGAGTCATACGTCCAGGGGACAGCAACTTCCCCATCCCAATTCTATCCTCAGGGCAAAACCCAAGAGATACTGATAGGATCTTGCAGGGAGCTCTAGGGTCCCTTCCCAGAGCAAGTCACAGGACATGTAGCCTCCAGCCTGCAGGCAAGGCAGGAGACATATTTGGTACTCGGGGGTGGTGGGTGAGGTGGTGAGCCACACAGTCCCACCCAGGGAGCACGGCAGGAGTCTTGGGCAGTTATTCTGTGCACTTGGAACAGAAGACCCAAAGTAGTCCCACAGCAAGGGTTCCCTGAGACAGGGCAGTTTTTCAACGTACTCACCCTCGAGCTCTTGCCCCAGGTAGGGGGTTCCCCTACTGAAAACCCCTCTGAAGGAGGCCCTTGTTGTTGTTATGTGCCATCGAGTTGACACCTACTCAGAGCTGACCCTGAGCCAGTTTTCAGAAGCTATAAACAGCACAGGAAGAGATTGCTCATCTTTCTCCCATGGAGCAGCTGGTGTATTCGAACCATGTTTCTCCAGCTTTGAGCTATATTTTTCTTCAAGTTGGCAGCCAGCTCCTAGAGCTCCCAAAGAGGTCCGTTGTTGTGTACCTAGAATCAGAACCGACCCATAGCTGACCCTCTCGCAGTTGTCAGAGGCAGTAATCACACAAGGAGGTTGCCCATCCTCCCGCAGACCAACTGGTGGATTTGAACTGCATACCTTTGCATTGGCAGTGCAATTCCTTGCCAGTAGGCCACCAGAGCTCCCAAGGAGCGTCTAGGGGACCAGACACTTTGCAAGTGGCATGGCTTGCCTTGCTTGAGAGGCCAGGCCTGTGGGGACCCTCAAGAGTGCCAGCCTGGAGACCCCTGTCCCACACTTCACCCTGTACCAGACGCTCAGGGGGGCCAAGTCTATGACCCAGGGGTGGGGGTGGGGGGTTGGATACATAGGAATGAGAGCCAAGCCAAGGCCCTAACTCGGTAGCCGGGTCCTCAGCTCCCTAGGCTGTCTCTGATGGAACCTGAGAGCGAATTCCGGGACATCGACAATCCACCCTCTGAGGCTGAACGCCAGCGCCGGGGCTCGGTGACGTTGACCCCCGGCCCAGAGTCCTTGCTACGCCCTGCACAGTCCCGCGGGAGCCTGCGCAGCACACGGGGCCTGAGCGCGCCCGCCTGCCCGGGCCTGGACGACAGGCTGGAGACCACGCCCCCAGGGCCACGCCAGGGCCTGCTGGCCACGCCCCGTGAGAAGCCCACCCGCAGGGTCAGTGACAGCTTCTTCCGACCCAGCGTCATGGAGCCCATCCTGGCGCGCGCACAGTACAACCACCTGCGCAAGAAGAGCTGAGCCGTGGGTGCCCACCCACGGTTCTCGCTGGAGGTCCTCGCCAGGAGGGTGACCACCACCCAGTGCACCAGGCCATTGTCTCTAACAAATAAATAGGACCTCCAGTCCAAGTGAGGGTTGACTTGTTCAAAGAAGGCGCTCTGGGGACCCTCGCCCCACTCCTTTCACGCAGCTGTCCATGCACACATTTCTTAGCATCCTAGAGGTCAGGCCCATTTTTAAGGGGCGGAACAGCAGCCTCCTGATTCCGGGGTTGTTTTAAACTAAAAGGCCAATTGCCTAACTTGATCTCACACTTTAACAAACTTGTAACCAAAAGACATTTGTCTTCAAAATTCGGATCCATCCTCTTCGAACATGTATTTGTCACCAGGAGGAATGGGGTCCTATCAGGTGTTCTTGAGACGATGCTAGTACAAGACTTAAAGGAATGAGCATTTAGGTTCTCAACAGATGACTCTGAAGAAACCCCAGCCAAGTACACGAGCTTCTTAGAGGTGGTTTCTGAGTGCCCTTTACAGACAGTCCAGCCTTGGCTTCTGTGTGTAGAGTGACCGCCTTGCTTGAAGCCTTCCACCTGGACCTAGCCCTGCCATCTGCATGTTAAATGCTGGCCCCCTGGATGTGGGATGACAGTGGTGACCTCTCACCTTACAATCTATAGTGGATGTAGGTTCTGGACCCACAGTTCATTCCAAATCTCCTTTGTCTTTTGTGTATTGTTGGTTTTGGTGGATTTTTTTAAAAATGTTGTTTCACATTAATTGTTTCAATTTGTAGCAATCTTGTGCACAATGAGATTGAACCCTTGTGATCCGTAGGATTGTCACTGCAAACTTCAGAAGCAGGTCCCCAGGCCTTTATTGGCCTGGAAGCTTCACCAAAATGTGGTGAGCATCAGAGCAACACTCAAGCCTCCACTGACCGAAGGGTGATGTGAGGGGGGGCTTCGCCCAGGAATCAAGCCCAGGTCTCCCACCCAAGAATTCTACCACTGCCTACCTCCCCAATGTTAGCATTTACTAAAACAGGGAGATGCACAGAGATAACTCAAAAATTCAAACACTGGGGAAAAAAAAACACAAATACCGCAGAAAAAGAGTGTCTTTCTTCCTGAGTTTCCAAGCCCCCTTCCATCTCAGGAAGCAAAGATGCCACCACTTTCTCATGTACCGTTTCGCTTAGAGGCTATGCTATGTACAAGCTGCAGAATGTTACACATACCTGCTTTTTTACACCTAATACATCTTATAGACCTTGTGTCAGTTTATAGAAATTTTTGCTCATTTTAATGGCCATATACTAACTACTTCATAATATGAATGTTCCATAACTGATTTAGCCTGTTCTCTAATGATGAACTTTTAAGTTGTTTCCAATTTTTTTAGCTACTAAAAATAGTGCTATAATAAATATCCTTATAAAAAAATCTTTTTCCCCTCCCCTTCCTTGTAATTATCTTCATTTGCTGCACATTGGTCTTTAAAAAAGAAATCTCTACCTAGAACAAGAAGCTGTATAAATACATTGTGTTCTGGGATTCCAATTCATCTCTGTGTTAAGCGTAGTTTGTTGTGAACCACACAACACAGTCAATTGTCTTTGCATAGTTGATTAAACACACAAAGAGACACATTAAAACAAACAAACAAAACAACAAAATACAGCAGTATATTAACATACATGTGTAACTTATAACTTATTTGTAACTTATAACCATGATGTGCAGAGTGAAAACTCTGCTCCTTTTCTCTGCAGCTGCAGAAATATGCACCATTAGTTAGGACACCACTTTAGGTCCTTTTATTGTTAGTTGCTATGAAGTCAATTCCAACTTATGGCACCCCCATGTGTTAAAGTGTACAACTGCACCATAGGATTTGCTTCATTATAATCTTAAGAAACAGAGTCCTGGTGGCCTAGCTGTGGTGCCAACCCAAAGACAGGTGGTTCAAATCTATCTGCTGCTCCTCAGGAGAAAGATGAGCAGTTTCCTCCCGTGCAATTTACAGCCTCTGATAACCCACTGGAGGGTCACCTGTGAGCTGATTCCAACTTGATGGCATTGAGTTTGAGTTGAATCTTATCAGAGGCAGATCACCAGGCCTTTTCTCACACAGTACGACTGGGTGAATTCAAACCAACAATCATTAGGTTAACAGTTGAGTGCAAACTGCTTGTGCCATCTGAGTACCTCTAAATTCCTTTAGACATCTATATATGAACTCTTTGGAGGCAAGGATTCTGAGGCTTTGTCTAACATACTTTGGACATGTTGTAAGGAGGGACTGGTCCTTGGAGAAGGACATCATACTTCGGAGGGTGGAGAGAGAGTGCAGGAGGGGAAGGCCCTCTATGAGGTGGATTGATTCAATGACTGGGGTAATCGGGATGGGTGTGTCAGGGACAGCGAGATTGGCACAGGACAGAATAGGGTTTAGGGCTGTTGTACATAGGGTCGCTATGAGTCGCAGATGATTTGACAGCACATAACAACAACATATGAACTTACCCCAACAAGCCTCCCTTAAAGCCATTGCATACTCTTGGCCCCTCTTCTTTTGTTCACCAAAGAGGCAGATCCCTGAAGTTGATTTTGCAGCCCTGGTAGATTTTTAATGTAAGAGTCATGGGTCTTGACCCCCACCCAACGGTTTTGAAATATGAAGATGAAGGGACAGAGGTTGTGGCTGGTGGACCTACCCACGGCCCTCGGCTGGGCTGCCTGTCCTACCCTCAGGGTGCATATCACTCTCCCACTTCAGGAGAAGGTCCTTTGAAATTGCTTTGGCAAGAACTCCTCAACGGTGCAAATTAAGTGCTTAAGACCCATCCAAAGGCACCTCAGAAGACAGGTGGAAGGTGGAGAGATCCGCTTCTGAAAGGTCACAGCCTTGAAAAGCCCATGGAGCAGCTGCACTGCGCACATAGGTTGCTGTGCATTGGAACCAACCTAATGGCAACTGACACAGCACAGAGCATAGGAAGGCAGAGCTTAGTCTTGCCTGGGCAGTCTCCCACGGACAGTCCGCGGGGAAGTGGCCTCATGCCTGGGAGTGAGAAATCAATGCCCAGCTGCCACAGGCCTCACCTGCATAAGCTGCTTCCTTCGCAGGATTCCAGAACCACGCTGTTCCGTCCTCTGCTGTGTCCTGTCATGGCTCTTGTGGGCCACACTCCAGCAGGCAGAGAACTGCCCCTTCTCAGCAGCCTGAGGACCGCAGGCCTCAGTAAACACATGCTGGACTGGCCCAGATGCCTCACTGCAAGAGTGTGGGGAAGTGCCAGTGGATGGAACAGAACAAATCGAAAAGCAAACCATTAAGTCTTACAAGTGTATTTTATCCCTCAATACCTCTTGATTAGGTGGCTGTAAGCCTGCCTCAGTATTTCAGAAAGCTTTCTTGGCTGGAAATGAGAAAGCCACTCCTCTGTTAGAGCAGACGTGGGACTTGGCTCTCGGAGGCATCAGCTTGAGGAGACCTTTTGGCCACGTGGCTGTGAATCGTGTTCCTGCTGGATATCCATCCTCAGGAGCTCTGGGCTGTGGGAAATGTCCACAGCGAACACTCCACGCTGGGCCTCCAAGGGCCTGTCTCCAGAGAAATGTCCCATCCTGTCGTCTGGCTTATAAAAAGAACCTCCAGCTCAGTCATGGCTTTGCAAAATAGAAAAAGAACCATTATATTACAAGCAGAAATTTCCCCCTCCCTCTCCCATAACATAGAATTATCCATGCAATAATTTATTACTTTCTTCTCTCTGGGTGGTGTTAATGGTTTAGGCAGTTGGCTGCTAACCAAATAATGGGTGGTTTTAAGTTGGTTCATAGGTGCTTCAGAAGAAAGGCCTGGCAATCTCTGAAAAATCACTCCCCCCAAGCCTTGTGAAGTGCAGTTCTACACTTAACACACACGAGGGCGCCGTGAGCTGGAATGGACTTGGCAGCAACTCATTTGGGTTAGTTTGAATGTTGAATCAGCGTTCATTCCAAATCAGCTATGTCCAAAACTAATGCTCATGCTAAGACTCCCAGCTATTTTGATAACAAGTTGTAAAGTATCCAATCTCACGTTTTAAAAACTAGGTTTTAAAAAAACCCAAAACCAAAACCCAACCACTACAGGTAGTACAGAGTGCTCCAAAGTCCCCCTGTTGTTAACATCTTCTATTTCCTAATCTCAGTCTTTCCATCCCTTTGCCAATGATCAGTTCTGGGATGAATAGGCCTGGGTTGTATGATAACGTGAGATGTGAGGGGCCACTGCTGGTGAAGTTTCTAGAAAGGGTTCCCTTGAACCAAAGATCATGCCAAGTAACACAGAGCTGCCTTGCTCTTCTGTATGTTTTGAGAGTGACAACTCAGACAACACCAGGGATGGCAGAGAAAAAGCCAGGATCCTCGATAATGATGCCGTGCACTCAGCCTGTCCCCACCCACCTCCTCTGGCCTCTTCGTGGTTACCAAGATAATGGCTTCAGTGTTCAGTCACGTCAAGCTGTAGTTTCTGTTACTTGAGGCTGAGGGTTTCTTAACACAAATCCATCTGGAGAGATAGAGCAATTTCTGTGGCCTTTAGTTATATTGCTTTTCTGTGACAGGCAATTTTCTGTATACATAATAAATTAACTTTCATGACTATATTAGAGTTTGGCTTTTCCTAATGACATTTTAAGTAACAAATTTGTTTTCATACTTTAGTGCTCCCAACGTGTACAATCTGTCAGGGGTCACAGAGGTGAACACCCAGTTTCCTTTAGGCAGCATGTGGACTTCTGCCTCCCCGGGGACCAGACTTCCCTTGGCAACAACTGTCAGGTACAACTCAATTTCAGAATGTTAAAGTGTGAGAAAACTGGAGTCTTTTTCAATTTGGGAAGATAGATTTTTTTTTTTTTTATGGAGTGTAATTTGGGGGCAAGAAGTAGAAAAAAAAAAATAGAGATGTTCCCAAAAGGGAGTCTGAGCTGAGGACAGAGTTGTTTAGTGTCCGGTTTGG